GAATCATAGATCTTCACATTTTTCAAAGGAAGCCAGAAATCCAGATTTAAATGTGAATTCTCCATTTTCAAAATGGTTGGTCAAATTTTTATTACTTAAACATTGTGGTGGCCAAGAAACTGTGAGTATATGCCATCAGATTCCATTCTGTACTATAATGGTTGTGCCAGTCAGCCTGTCTAGAACAGTAGAGAAGGCAAGAGGAATTAGGAAGGGGGGAACTTCACAGATATTCTAAACACATCATGTAAAGTATTTTCAAAAGTCTGAAAGAGAATTTCCATGCAAAATGTATAAAACGCATGCTCTGTGTAAAGTACATTGTTACTATCTTTTCCCATGAATCGTGACATAAGCAGAAATGTTCTTATTTCTATTATCCACCGTTTTGAACTGATTTCAGTTCTCTTCAATAAATATTTATGGAACATTACCCACTCACTCTGTGCCTTGAACTAGATGGTGTCTATCATTTGCCTGCTACTAATTTTTCAGACATTCCACCAAGTTTCCTCATTACTTTCTACTACCTACTCTTGGAGTGTCAGTCAAGATCTATTAGAAAGTTTCTTCTGGAAGCTCTCTTTGGATGTAAGCTGCTTTTGTCCTGGATTATAGGATGTCTGTGTTCTGTCAGGGAGAAATGGAGGAAACCACTGACAAGGTAATCTGGGGTCAGATTGTAAATGGCTACATTACGGAATTTGGGTAGTGAGGAGCCATGGAAGGATTTTAAGTGAAGGAGCAGCATAGTAAGAGCTATAGTTAAAGAGGTGATTCTGGCTCACTTTGCAAAATACAGCAAATTGTAGACAAGGCTAAAGGCAGGGGGCCCAGTTCTCAGGCTGTGATAGTAGTTCAAGGGGAGATAATATAACCCAGCAGAGATAATAGCAAATAGGGTCAAGATCCAAGAGAGAGAAATTTAGAGTGGAACTGACATACCTGTTGGATATGGGAAATGAGGATTAAAATCCAACACTGTTATTATGGACTGAATGACTGAATGTTTGTGTCTGCTCTCCCTGCCCCTGGCCCCCAAATTTATATGTTGAAACTCTAGCCTCCAATGCTTTTGGGAGGCAATTAGGGTTAGATGAAGCAGTGAGGTTGGGAAACTTGTTTGATGGCATTAGTGCCTTTGTAGAAAGAGACACCAGAGAGTTTCTTGCTCTAATGTGTGCACACGCTGAGTAAAGGCCATGAGAGTACGCAGCAAGAAGGCAGCCATCTGCAAGCCAGGAAAAGAGCTCTCACCAGAGCTCGACCATGCTGGCAGCCTGATCTCAGACATCCAGCCTCCAGAACTGTGAGAGAACAAGTGCCTGTTTTTAAGCCTCCTAATCTATGATATTTTATTATGGCAGCCAGACCAGACTAATACAACTACTTTATTTTATTGTGTAAATTGTTCCAATGTTGGCCATTAATAGTTGGTGCTTGCATTTTTAACATGCCTTCAATTGTTGGTTTTAAACATATGTATACATTTCCTTACTTTGGTATTACACGATATTCCAGGCTCACTTAATATATCTCCTGTCCCAGTCCTAGAATCAATTATTTTTTCAAGGAACCCTGGTTCTTCTTAGTGGGGAATAGATTAGAAGCTAGTGTCTTGGCATAAGATGTACTTATTTCTATGGGCATGTCATTGCTTTAGGTCCTCTTAGCTAACAGCAAGGAAATATATGTATATATATATGTAAATATGTGTATATGCTAACATGTGTATATGCATGTATATATGTGTGCATATGTATAACTGAATATATATTTATATATATAACTATATGTATCTAGATTAAGCTAAACAGGAGTTCATACTGATACCAACAATGCTAATAGATTAGATCATTCTAATGATCTTCTCTTCTCTTTTATCTGTAACCTCCCGCTACTGCAGTGAGAAATCTCACTCCTATTATCTACAGCCATTTTCTTAATTGTTCAATTTCAGTACACATGTGTAGCAATATCAGAATTATTAAACTTTTCCCCCTCAGGAAGCAATTTCTTTTTTTCAACATTTTTTATTGATTTATAATCATTTTAAAATGTTGTGTCAAATTCCAGTGTTCAGCACAATTTTTCAGTCATTCATGGACATATACACACTCATTGAGGAAGCAATTTCTTTATCAACTAGAGTACAATGCTTATGCACAGTTTCTTTTTCTTTCAGTCTCACAGACTCATTTCCAAAGTTACTTAGCACCTTTCCCCCAGTCCCTTCAGTGAAGTTGCTTCTTACATTTGTAATGGTTCAATTCTCTCCTCGTAGGCTGCATTTCTTCCTGGCATTGCTGAACCTTCAAAACATTTTTTCATACATTAAGATTTACTCTTTATGCTGCAATATGGTATAGGTTTTAACAAATGTATAATTTCATGTATCCTCCATTACTGTATCATAAAGAATAGTCTCACCAACCTCAAGTAGCCCTTGAAATTTACCCATTCAGTTTTACCCCCTATATCCACTCTCTTTTGGCAATTACTGATATTTTTCACTGTGCTATAGTTTTGTCTTTTCTGGAATGCAATATAATCGGAATCATACAGTACACAGCCTTTCTAAATGGCTCTTTCATTTAGTATACACATTTAAGATCCATCCATGCCTTTTGTGGCTCATTTTCTTTTAATTCTGAATAATATTCAATTGTTTGGACATATCACTGTTTGTTTATCCATTCTCCATTGAAGGACATGTTGGCTGCTTCCAATTTTTAGTGATGTTGAATAAGGCATCTATAAACATTAGTGTGTAGGTTTTGTGCAGACATAAGTTTTCAAATCAGGTGGGTAAATGCCTAGTAGAATGATTACTGGATGATATGGCAAGACTGTTTAGTTTTGTGAGAAATTGTCAACTGTTTTCCAAAGTAGCCATGCCAGTTTGCATTCTCACCAGCAAATATTTCCTGTTTTTCAGATCCATGTTGGAATTTGGTTTGCCTGTTTAAAAATTTTCTTAGCCATTCTCTTCTGTGTGTAGTAGTTATCTTAACTTTTAAAATAGTTGTTGTAATAAATAGAAACAATACCCATTTTAAAGGTGGCAAAACCCTTGCATTCCAGTTAATCAGATGTTGGGTTATTTTCCAAGCAGAAAGTTGTTATCAAAATATTTAATTTTATAGCACTTTAGCTTATACCCAAGGATCAATTAAACACACTTATATAAGGGGATCAGTAGTATAAATCATCCAAAGGGAGATAATCTAAATAAGAATTATGTTAGCCTTTTGAATGCATTTTATGATCCATTTTGTAATGTCAAAATTACTCTTGTAATTATGGTAACTTTGAAAATCATCATAGCTATATATTGCCAAAATAGCTAGTTTATTACTAATTGGTTTGCATAATTAATTTAACTTAACTTACTACATTTATCTTTAACTTTCTGATCTGACATTGTGTAGCTTCAAGTTTAGGCAAAATTAACGTAGTTTTTACATTCTTTCTACACACCAACCAACAGGTGGAGATGGAATGATAGTTCCAGGAACTACCTTGGATTAAACAGCTCCAAAGATACTACAATATGCGAAAAGCAAGAGTTGGCTACATTGGATTTCTTACGGAAATATACTAATAAAAACTTAAAGTTGAACTGGACACTGAAGAAATTAAATTCCTCTTGTGCATATTGGTGACTTGTAAGAGCCACCTCTGTTTGTGATACAAATAATTCTACAATATACTGTACTAATCCTAGTTGATGATAAAAGTGTTTTGACTTCAATGATTCATTATAATTATTGCTATAGTCTTAAAATTTATGATAGTGGAAATTTAAGATTCTGTTGAATATTTTATATCTCTGTATATGTTCATTTTTTATGAAAATACTTCCTGTAACAGTTTCCATTGTTATACAATGTAAATTTTGAAAGAACAGCAAAATAAATACAAAGATTTCCCTGTATTTAGCTCTACTCACTGGGAAAGCAAATTAGATATTAAAGTTGGAAGATTCCCAAATGATCCATTAGAAATTGAAATTGATTTTAACTTCCTTTATGCTATTATTTATGGTGTTTTATTTCTACTTCAGCTCAGTCCCTTATCTCGACCTCATTATATTGCTGTTCTTTATGAGAGAGGTATGACTTAAATAATGGCAATTTGCTAATGATGTGTGGATTGCCGTATCTACTGCCCTAACTACTAAGTGTTGTTCTGCAACATCTAGAAGTGGTGGTAAGTAATATGCAAAATATTTCTTAAAATAAATGCTGTACATAATGTAGCAATATAGGTAGAGCAGAAATCAGTACTTGGGGTGAGAAGTTGCTAGCAAAATACTGACTTCTCATCCAAGGTGAGCCGAATGCTTACCAGGTGCCCACAAAGCTCTTGACTTTATGATCGACTTTGCCATGACTATCGTCTTCCTCTTACCAAGCCAAACCCCCAAACAGCCACAAATAGTATAATCCATACTTCCAGTGTAGAAATTCCTCAAGATTTTTTAAAAGGAGCCAGTTGATAACCTCTTTGTCTGCATTAGAAATTCATGTGAATTTAAAACCACATTCTAATCCAGACAGTTCTGACAAAGATCCCATGAGTCTAGGGAACTAATGATAATTTTACTGGTCATTGAAAGTTTGTTCCTGATTGCATTCTTTCTGTGGAAGGCCTGCAGGAGCAATAATCAAATACCATTAGTTATCTGGTACGTATCATGCAGGGAAAAAATGTGCGTAGATCAATGTGCTAAGAAAATCTTTCATGACTAATGAGTAAAAAATGTCATCTCGAAACCTCTCAGCAGTTTTCCTAAGAGACTGAACTTGCACTATATCCTGAGAATGGATGGATGTAGGTATCTAAATGTAAGCAATGAAACCACACAGGTACCAAAGACAACATGGGTAAACTGCTCTTTAACATTGGTGTAGGGAACGGCTTTCTATGACTCAAAATTCCAGGAGTAAAAATTAAAAACTCTTAATAATTTTGGCCACAGAAAATTAAATTTTTTTTCCATCACCAAGAACACCATAAACAAGGAGAAAAGACTGATGAAAAACTGGGTAAAAATATTCACAACATATATGACAAAGGGCTAATATTTATAACATAAATAGATATTCCTAAAATAAATGAATTCCTAAAAATAGAGAGTGCATTTTTTTACATGGTTTACCCCAAAGATAATATCTTGCAAAACTGCAGTAAACTATCACAACAAGAATACTGACATTGATGCCATCTACTGATCCTATTCAGATTTCACCAGCACGGTTTTACTGGTACTCACCTGTGCCATTATTTTTTTAATGGGGAACTACAGAAAAGGGATATTTTTCAGTCTCAGTCTCTTCATCTATATAATAGGGAGCAATAATACAAATTTGCTAGACTCCTATAGGGACTAAATTAGCTAATCATTTAGCATGCTTATCTCAGTCTTGGCACATAGTGACCATGCAAATATCCCCTCTTCCATCCATCACCATGATCCAACCTTCTGTTCTTATTCCCCTCCCAGCCCTAGCCCTGTGCTTAACTTCACTCCTATTTCTCATGTCACCAAACTCTGTCCTATTCCTCACCTCCCTGTAAAAGCCTAAATCTCCACTCCTTGCTCTTTTTTTCTGCGGTACCTAGTATGTTCTAATGATCTCTTCCTGTCTGGAATGCCCAGAGGTTTAATAGGATTGAGGGAGGCTATTTCCACTCAAGAGATAAAGGGAGAGCTAGAGGCAGTAAAGGGAGAGCTGGACATTGTGCTAAAATTGTAGCAGAGAAAGATGCATGTCTTTCATCCCTATTTTGAAATTCTATAGACTTTTCATGAGAAATACGTTGATAAATGGAGGTTAGAGTGTATGACACTATTAGAATTATGATGCACCCACATGTAGGCTAAGTAGAGTAGGCTTTTAAAGCATTGCCTGAGATTCATTTATTATAGTCATTCTAACAACCAACGTTAACTCAGTACTTCTTGTGTGTTCATTGCGTATGGACTTTACAGACACTGTTATGTAGACACTGTTTACAGTTCCATAGACGTGATCTAGTGTTATATTGTTATATAGACACAGAGGAAGCAGTGATTCAAGATCTCTTCTTGCATGTAAGGCAGGTAGATGATTAGCTCTAGCTGTAATAAAGCAAGTAAAAGAAGTCTCTGCCCCCACGAAGCTTCCGTCTTAGTTTCTATTTGGAGTAGTGTTCTAGGGTGTAAAGACCTGCTTAGACTTTCAGAACACAACCCCCTTGTACCCTGTGGAATACTCTTGCTTTAAAGGAGCTGTCATAGCCAGGAATGGGTAATAAAGGAAAATCAACTTGGCATATGATACTCAGGGAAAGCTAGGAAACACCAGAAGTCCTTTTTTTGAAAAGGAACTATAAATAGAACAGGGAACAAAAATATTCTGGGGTGGTGAGAGCCCTCAAACATAGCTCAAAGCAACCGCCTGAGTCAGTTTGCCAGCATCCAAATTGTGACCTAAGAGTGGGATATTTGTGGGTGACGGGCGGCACAGTGGGTAATTCAAGACAGCTAGTGAACATAATGGCTCATTTGGAAAAATGCAGAAAGTGGGTCTAAGCCAAAAGCTATAGAGAGAAGAAAGGGAGAAGACAGAATTCCTAGTAGACTTTAGGTAAATTGTAGCGGAGTTTGTGAGAGAGTTGCACCAAAAATCATTTCAGTTTTATAAGTGATTCTTCCATTCTAAGAGGATAAAATAGCTATTAAAAGAGAGTATCTCAACCTGGGACTGCAGGAATTTAGGGAAGATTATTTAGAAGAACAAGAAAGCGAAGGCCAAGGTCTGTGAAAGGATTTATGGACCAAAGGGGACTATTTAAACCAAGACAAAACTAACCCAGCAAACTCTGCTTAATTAATTCATGCATTTAGAGTTTGATTCTTTATTACATGTAACAAACTGCGCCAAACACCGAGAGGTATGCATATAAATAAAACATAATCCCTATCCTTAATTCTTATATTATTAATGAATTGCTCCCTATCTTTGTAATGATGTTGAGATAGTAACTATATTAAACTGAACTAGAGCAAATGGAAGAAGCAATGAAGAAAGGCAGGGACACCCAGTAGAAGGAGAAATAACTTTGATTTTACCCTTGGGTGAAGGCACTGAACCAAGAATGTGAATTATATCCTAGTAAAGATAATCATCACCTCTAATATCTGTTCTTTAAATACCCCTGAGAGCAAAGTTTTCTGCACTGAATTGGCAACTGCACTTGTTAAGCTGTGACAGACAAGTCGTGGGGCCATCCCTTGCTGTGCTCTGGTATAGCTCAGTGGTTGCTTTGGTCAGAAAATTATTCATCAATTTCTAAAAGCCACATAGGGGCTTAGCATTTAAAACCTCCTAGAAGAGCAGACTGTTTAGCTGGAATGATATAAACTGGAACAAAAGACAGCCACTCTTCCTGGCTGCCTTGGTGTTGGCTCATTGGATTCCACGGTTCAGTGACTCATAGCCGAACAGTATGAAACTTTATCACAGAGAGTTTTATTCTGCTTTAAACCTGCAGATGAAAAGTAATTTAGTTCATATGCTGCAGTGATGCAAATCAAAACCCATAACATTTTTATTAATTGCTGAAAGCAGACCGGGTTTCAGAAGCACAAAAGTACCAGCAAAGAACTACAGAAACACAATAAATTTGAAGACTAGGTTTGGAAAGATGCCCAGTATTTTGGAAGTGAAGGGCCTGCTTATACACGATTTCACAAATGTAATTTTGCTGATGCAAAATCAGTACAAGTAGTCTGAATTTTTAAAAAGCCTTTGGCCTAAACTAAAGCTTCTTAATTCAAATCTTGACATTAAGCACCTTTTAGGTTATTCTTCATACACAGTGGAAACTGACTTTATTCCTGTTCGGCTCATGTCCCTACCTGCTGTCACTTTGGACACAATTTCATTTTGGTTCCTAAGGTCTTCTCTCATAATAAACAAGCACCTTCCCAAAAAGCTAAGGTCTAAGGCACTGTGTACTCTGTTCGTAGAAAATGAACAGCGCCTAGCGTGGTAGTCAGTGTGAGGGACTCAAAACATCGGAAAAGAGCTAAAATTTCAACCCTGACTTGTACTGTTCAAAAGAAAGGAAACAGATACAAATAAAAATCTTTGCCAGTGCAGAAGTAAGTCAGAGCTCATTATATGTCTCACTCAGACACACACACTCATGAAATGAACATAATGGAAGTGCTTATAATTTTCCATCAATTCAGTGTTGATAACAGTAACATTCAGCAAGCACTGTAAAGTGTCCCCATGTGGCTCAAGGACTTAGTTATATTTGCAAAATTACACATCAAGAGGTTGACAAATTATTAGTTATTTCCATGGATTCTCTATTTATCCAGATTAAAAGTGAGAGTTTTGATAGCAAGTGTTCTATTCAACACAGTATCTATAGGACTGGCGAGGTGTTTTCTTTATTACCTTGAATTGCTTTAACACCACATCCATCCAATGAAGTGAGTTCAATGTCAAAAATCCTCAAGAGAATCATCTGAGGAACTTGTTAAAATATGTTGAGATCCAGTTTCCAGATATTTAATTCAGGAATCGGAATGTTTCTAATATGTTAATTAAGTGATTCTGATGTATGGCATTTGCAAACCACACTTTGAAAGGCTGTCTAAAATCATAGGTTTAAAAATGAACTGCTACTTCATACCTATTAGGATGGCTACTATAAAAAAGAAAGAAAATAAGTGTTGGTAAGGATGTGGAGAAATTGGAACCCTGGTGCACAGTTGGTGGGAACGTAAAATGGTGCAGCTAGCATGGAAAACAGTATGGTAATTACTTAAAAATTAAGACTAGGATTACCATATGATCCAGCAATTTCATTTTGGATATATATTCAAAAGTATTGAAAACAGAGTCTTAAAGATGTATCTGTATACCTATGTTCACAGTAGCATTATTCACAATAGCCAAGAGGTGGAAGCAAAACCAGTATTCATTGACGATGAAATGGATGAATGGAAAAGCAAACTGTGGTATATACATATGATGAAATATTATTCAATCTTAAAAAGAAAGGAAATTCTGACACATGCTACAACTTAGATGACCCTTGGGGATATTATGCTAAATAAAACAAGCAACACAAATGGACAAATATTTTATGATCCCACTAATATGAGGACCTAAAGTAGTCAAATTCATAGAGACAGAAAGTAGAATGATGTTTGCCAGGAGCCAACTGGGGAAGAGGAATGGGGGAGTTGTTTATTTGGTACAGGTGAAAAGAGTTCTGGAGGCTGGTTGCACATTGATGTGAATGTACTTAACACTCCTGAACTGTACACTTAAAAGCAGTTAAGATGGTAAATTTTATCTTATATTGGCTGTGAAGGGGAAGTGGAGATGGACAGCGGTTGTAAGGAGAACAAAGATAAAAGGATTTCTTTTTTTGAAAGGAAATGTCTTGTAAAAGACTAAACTGAAGGAAAGGACTCAGTGAAGAGAGAAATGTTGATAATGCAAGAGAACTGAATGTAACATAACATATATAAAACATATTTGTAATTCACAGGTGAAACTTGGCACCTGGTGGGTTTGCGATATCCTTAATCTTTTCATGTGCACTTTGCATCAGAAAGTGAATTAGGTAAAATGTCTGAGAGACATTCCAACTTTCCGTACTTCCAAGACCTAAGAGAAAGTGGGTGGGTATCATAGTCAAAATGCTCTCATGTGACTGGGCCTGTGCTAGCACTGAAATGCTGAATGTTTTACTATCAGTTTCAGAAATGCCAAATGTAAAATGAGGTTCATGTCATTGCTCTTGCCCTGCACACTCTTATTCATAAAATGAGTTAATGATAATGATTTTATGAACAAAAAGGTGACTAATATTTCTTGACATAGTAACCTTGGCAATCTCACTATACTGCTGAGGATAAAGAACACAAATTCCAATACTGGGAGAGAGTCTAGAAATGTTCCCATATTGAAGCTTCTAGATCATCCCATTCTTTCCTCCAAATGGAACAGTCTCTCTCCCAAGCTTCTCTGGGCTCTGGGGAGGGGAGGTCATCTAGAGCCGAGGTGCTTCTTTGCACGCACAAAGCAGGACTAAAACATCCATTTGGCCAGCCTCCTAGGTCTCTAGAGAAAATGTAAAGAGCATTCTACACCTAGCGCACCACTGGAACACTAGGAAGTCGATGTTATTTTCAGAAGGGCACACATTTCCACTAGAAATTTCAAAATATGCTTGACACAGGGCTGAGGAGTATTTGAAAGGTAGCAATTTAGATATTTCAAGATTCCAAAAAAGCCTATTTTTGCATATATTTACATCATTTAAACCATGCATATATCTTTTTCCCATTATGATTTGTTCCACTTAATTTGCCAGAGTTTACAATTAATCGATCTACTCTCCTATATTTAGTGAAAAACAACAACAACTAACTTGTCAGTTGCTGGTTGAGGTGTGAAGTCCTCAAGGAGTCCAGGGAATCATAAAGAGGACTAAAATTTCCTGACAGCTATGTTGGTCTTTGCAAAAAGTCTAAGTTCTCCACCCACCTATTACTATAGAAGAGTCTGACATATGGTCCTTGTACTGCTTAATTACACATTTCTTTTCCACTCCAGTTAACATATTTCACTTATTTGTCATTTCTAATATTTTAGCTAAAATGATGCCATTTTCTTTCTTTCAGTTTGACTGATAGCAGGAATTTTGATTGCTGGGGAAAAATAATTCAGTCCTCTAAAGAGAAAAAATGAAGATCTAATCAACATAACGTCCTAAAAGAACCTGACATTCTCTTCAGGGGATGATTGGCTGCCCATAAATGAGAGCGCGTGTGTGGGAAACTTCCTTAAGTCTCTGTTACTTGATTAACTTGTAAAGGCTAAGATCAACTGACAAATTCAATTATACATTCAAATTATATTTCTAAATTGGCTTAATTTTTTAAAGTGATGAATGAACCATGGGGGAACAATTCCATTATAATGCGAACGAGAAAGAATAAGTCTCAATATTAATAGTGTGCCAGTGCACACAAACTTCCCTATTTCTCTTGATTAGCAGGATAGGTTTAATGAACAGAAATATCTGGTTTATAGGTCTGCTGTGGTGTTTACGTTCCAGGAAGGGAAAGCTCTCTTTGGGGTACAAAAGGGAGGAAAAAATGATGGTGTCCTTGGAAAGTAATAAAAGTCCTCTTAGGCTGACTTTACCTTAGTAAAGCAGATCATAAATAAAGAAAACTATTTGTCTACAGATTGTCTCAAAAGGTACAGAATTTGCTGATGACTGCCTGGTAGGAGCAATTCAGGAAGAAGTCATTGCTGATTGTAAAAGACATTTCTGAGTTAGATTCTAATACAGTCACATAGTGATAAGTAAGATGTTGCTAAATATTTGCCCCCTCTGGAGACTTAATGTACCATAGTCAGAAAAAAAAAATAAAGAAAAACATTTCTCATATATTCTCCTATTAAAATTTGAATCATTGTCATCAGCACTTGAATATAGTAAATTTCAGTTTTATGGAATAGGATGAGACCAAGTCTGCTACATAAAAATTGATTTTGACACAAAATGGAAATCAGCAATTTATCCTAAGAATGTTACTGAAAAAAATAGTCTATGTGACTAAGATAGATGATAAAACACACCACAATTTCTCCTTTTTCCTTCTACATTGATAAATTAGCACACACAAAAAATGCAATAAAATTACATTTAAACTCATATTTAAATCTTTACTAGTCAGTCATTTTCATTTGTCAAAAATAGCATGTTATATTGAATTTTTACAGTATTAACAAACATTATGCACTGCAGCTTTTTAGTTCTTCAAATTTTACCTGCAAAATTTAGGTTATTTGTTTTGACTAAGAGAAGTCCTTCTCAACCAGCCATCTTGTAAGATAGCTGTGAAGACAGACAGGATAAAATGTTTGGAAGTTTTTTGAATCTCCTACATAAACATCATTTTCTTAGCACTTATTTTCTGCTAGGACATGTTGCAGATGAGGAAACAGAGCCACAGAGAAGTTAAACACTGTATGCAAAACCATACAGCAAATTGGGGTTTGAGTGCTAGATGGCATAGTTGCAAAGTTTATGATATTTCTCATAGTACCTGATATTAAAAGACAGTGAACAAAAAGTCACGCACAAATGTTCCCAGCTGCATTATTCAGAGTGGCCAAGAAGTAGGAACACCCAAATGTCTATCAACTGATGAATGAATAAACAAAATGTGGCACATTCTGCAACAGAACATATTTGCTGATAAAAATTAATGAAGTACTGATAGATTACAACATGGATGAACCTTAAAAACTTTATCCTAAATAAAAGGAGTCAGTCACAAAAGATCACATACTGTATGATTACACTTACATGAAATATCCAGAGTAGGCAAACCTATAGAGCCAGAATGCAGATTTACGGTTTCCAGGGGCTGAGGAGGCAGAGATGGGGGGGGGGGCGACTGCTAATGGGCACAGACCTCTATTTGGAGTGATAAAAATGTTCCAAACTTAAACTATTGTTATGGTTGCACAACTGTGATTACATTAACAGTCATTGAATTGTACCCTTGAAATGGATGAATTTTATGGTATGTGAATTATGTCTCAATAAGTTGTTAAAAAATAATTTGGTTATTAAATGTCACAATGATCCCAGGATCTTTCTTCCTTCTACAATATTAAGTAGATGTGTCCTCAGAGATAAAATGTAACTCAGAGATCATTTGTGAACATGCCCGAGAGTCACATCTCTACTAGAATTCTGAACAGTCAGCTTCCCTCCTCACTCCCCTTTGCTCTTTTATTTTACGGAAAAAATCCAACGTTGACCTTCCTCCTATAGAGCAGGCAGAGTGCTTTACTGATGGTCAGAATGGGAGTGCGCCACCCTCTCGTGTTTATGAATCCCAGAACACATGATTAATTCATAAATACAGGCTTTTAATTGTAGCGTCCCACTCATCCTGCTGGGAGAGATACACTTGTTAATATAATGTGGCTGAATTAGTGTTATTCCTTTCAAGGTCGTTACCCAGGGTGGATC